CGAGCGGCTCGCCGCTCTGGCCCTCCCTCCCTGCTCGCTGTTCAACTTCCAAGCGGCGGCAGCGGCGTTCGCAGAGCGTTCCCTGCGCATGCGCAGGGGACGCTCTGTGAGTTTCGGGGGGATTTAAACATCCCCCTGATGTTTTTTTTCAGATTTAGGATTTTTGTGCACACGTGGGGACCCACATGTGCACAAACCTCTCCCTCCCCCCCAGGTCCCCCCGATGTGCAGATTTAAGCATCCGCACACCAGGGGGCGACTTGGGAATTAGATATATAGATTATTACATATAATATATCACATCTTGTCAGCAGTGAGTTACTCGGATGCCACCAAGGTTTAGAAATTCCCTGTCAAATTAGGTCAGATTGTAAGCATATTACACAGACTTTAAAAATTGTCTCTGAATCACTGGATAATTTTTTTTAATGTTTATTTCTTGAGAGACTTCACAACTTTTTCGACTATGTTTCATCAACTGCTCTTGTTAAGTTCACTTTTGTCATGTGTGTAATTGGGGGAGTTCCTCCTCGAAGTCCAGCCAAGAAAATCTGTGGCCTAGGTACGTTACTGCTGTTTTCACGCTTGGTCTGTGTACTGGAGTCCTTCATCAGGTACACCTGAGCAGAATTGTCCCTTCGCATATGACTAAGGTTAGTTTGCACAGAATGTGTTAACTTTTGGCGCAAGTTAGCCTGAAGACAGAAAACAATAAGAATAATCACAGCTGCAGCCAGCAGTTAAAGAACTGTATGAATTGTTCTTTTTTTTTTTTTGCTGTCAAGTCACAGCTGACTTATGGTGACCCTGTAGGGTTTTCAAGGCAAGAGAGGTTCAGAGGTGGTTTGCTATTGCCTGCCTCCAAGTCACAATACTGGACTTCCTTGGCGGTTTCCCATCCAAATACTAACCAGGGCTGACATAGAAAAGCCCTGCTGAATCAGACCAGTGGTCCATCTAGTCGAGCATCCTGCCTTACACTGTGGCCAATCAGTTCCTCTGGACAGCCAACAACAGGGCATAGAGGCCAAGGCCTTCCCCTGATGTTGCCTCCTAGCTCTGGGATTCAGAGGATTAGTGTCTCTCAATGTGGAGGTTTCCTTTAGTCACCATGGCTAGTAGCCATTGATAGACATCACTTTGCAAACCACAAATTGGCCAAAATTCATTATGAACAGTACTGGATCTGGTGAGTCTCTGCTGACTATGGAAGTCAATTATGATGTCCTGCTGTCCCCCAGGAGGGCCACAACCTACTTTTCCTCTTTATAGCAAAACTGATCATTATTTTTATTTCCTAATTGTGCATTATGAGAATAAAAAACTACATTAGCTGCAAAGGAAAAAAAACAGTGATTAAAGTCTTCCTCCTCTCTCTGGAAAATGAACTGATGAAGGATCCAGGCAGAAGAGCTGTGGCCACGGTAAGTTCAGGAAATAACTAAGCATGGCGGGGTGGTAGGAATGATCACAGCTAGGCTTTGAAACAAAAGAGAGAAGTAACAAAATGTAAAGGGACGATTACAAGGTATAGCTGAGACCTTTGCTGAACTGACTACTTCCAATGAAACAGAAAAGTAGGGATGGGCATTCTGGAATTTTATGGGAAATATAGCACTACATTAAATTGTGTTCAGTACTGCTGTTTACATTCTGCTTGCTGATGACTGCAGAAAAGATATCTTTCAGCAATGTAAAAAAGGTCACACTGTGGAGCAAACTTTTAATAAACTCTACAACAATGTAGACACGAACCAGTTTGATGGCTTTTCTCCTCAGTTCCCATTCATTCCATTCATAATCCTTTTCAAAAGTTGGTGGCAAGATGTGTGTTTCAGTCTGAGTACTGCTGTCACACTTTGTGATGGGTTTCAAACTCTTGTCCTTGCTTTTAATCTGAAACAAAAACAGGTGTTACAAGAGGGAAACCCACAAGGACTCGCAGGGGACTGCAAATTCCATCCCTCCACTGGCCATCACTTCCTTTCCTTATGGGAAAAATTAGTCTTTTCGTTACAAAGTTCTGAGATAATGAAAGGTTTTAAGAGTCAAAAACAGCACCTTGTATTGAACATGGAAACAAATATATTTTGAAACAGGTGTTATATATACCAAGCAGTATGTTGAGTCAGTAATTAGCTGTTGTGCTTGAACTAACTGCTGTTTCTTGAGTTGTGTTAAAACACCCCATTGTAGAACATGTTACAATAGTCTGCTTGTTTGTAAAGAATGGGCAGGATAACTCAACTTGGATTTTAAAAAAACATACTTTCTATTTACAGGGTTTCTTTGTTTTGTTCTCATCAAAGACTTCTGTGTAAAATTAGAAGGTAAGAAGAATTAGCAACACTCATATGGGATTCCATATGGCACAGTTTGAGTGTGCTGGATATGCTTAATCAAACCATAAGCAAGACTGGGTGTTTGCCAGTCTTTGTGGGGAGTGCTGCTAGTCCACAACAGACTAGTAAAATCAGCACAGCAACAGAATTACCGAAGCAGGTATAGAACTAAAAATCCCTCCACTAGGAAATACCTCTTCTTTGAGATACTTAGCTTCCCATGTTGGTACTATGGTGCCTGGCAAAACTGGTGTATGGAAGTGCCCCAAAGGATAAATGTGATAAATACCTGAGAATAAGGGGCCAAAGATTCAAACTGCTGATGAAGTTCAAGCAGCTGAATAAGCTCTGGACTTTCCTTTGCTTTTTCTCCAATCATCTTAATATATTTATCTGGATTTCTGGCAAAACTATATGCAGCTTCTTTGGAACAAAAGGTGTAATATTTCTCCTTATGCTTCAAAATTCCCAAAGAAGGATTTCCTAACAAATAAAAACCACAAAAATAACATTTGTGTGTGTATGTATACCCCCACACAAACACACACACACACACACACACACATATATATATATAATTTCCTCATGATTCTCTTGATCCCAGTTAGAACATTTACCTTAAAGTCTACCCTTTGGAAAATTCCATCAACTTCACACTATCAAAACCCCTCCCCATTTTTTTTATAAGCCAAGTAAGAGATCAGGGTTACTTCAGCATCAACACCCAACTTCCATAGTGCAAATTAGAAGTGGGGAAAAGTCACACTATGAAAATTCTACTTTCTTTTTTGAATATACAAATGCAAATTGATGCTCTGAGACTTCAGTTCTAAACTGAACAGTACTAAATAAATGTACTATTCAATTTTTTTTAAAAAAATTCTCCCACATGGCCATAAGGTGTGTGTGGGGGAGTTGTGGATATACAGTGGAGCTTCTGATATCCTCACTTGCAAACTACACCAGAAATTGAGGAGAGCGTCAGGAGTGCCTTTATGCCACAGAAAGAATTGTGCTTTGGGTGGAATATACGCCAGAAGGCCTTGCATAGGTCTAAAGAGCTCCTTGGATCCTCGCCAATGTAAAAGGGATCAGAATAGAGAATTTTGTTAACTTCGACATACAAGTTCAGCACATGCCTTGCAACTAGTGAGACCTCTGCTTAGATCTATAAAAGAAACGTTTCAGTGATAAGTCTTAAAAACAAAAACAAATTGAAGGATGAAGTTTTACAGGAAATTACCATACTAGCATCAAGTCATAATTTGTAGTAACAAGACCATATAATACTTAAGAGTCAAGAAGTCAAACTTGACAGAAAACTCTCCGTAATAGCTCCAATCCACATATGGTGAGATACAGAAATTCCACCAATCAGTACTGGCTTCCTTTATACTGACATGAAGCAGTAAACAAATCTCTTAAAATGAACAATTTTTTTAACTGGTGTACCTGGGAGGAGGAGACCATCTTTCACAGCAAAATTGTAAGCACAAAACCCATGGTACTGAACAGTCAGTTGGCTAAAATTAATTGTGGTTTCTGGCAATAGCCATTCTTCTGATGTGAAGTCAGAAATATTTACTTTGTCATCTGAAAGAGAATATAACCCAAAGAAATATAAAATGGTAAACAGGATAACCAAGAAGAAATTTTTCACCATGCCATCCATTTCAAGACAACTGCGAAAGATGGCTGACTTGTAGAAGCCAATTGCCCATTAATCAGGCTTTATTAGCAACTAGCAGTTTCCACCACATTTGCTGTTTTGGAAAAAGACATTTCTTTATTTCATAATAAACTATTATCAGAATTATAAAAATACTAGGAAAAAGGCCCGTTGTGGAAATAAATACAACGACCTCTAGAAAGAGGCTCTGGGCGGGTGCCCCGGCCTTGGACACTCAGTGTCAATTTGCTGTGGCGACCTCAGCGTGGTATAATGACACTGAGTCCACCATTTTCTCCAGAGGAATTGATCTCTGCTACCTAAAGAACAGTTGTGATTTTGAGTGATCTCCAGCCCTCACCTGGAGATTGGCAACGATGGTTCCCCAAAAGGGAATAGTTGGTTTGGAGGGTGGAGTCTATGGCTTTGTACCTGTCTGAGGTCCCACGCCTCCTGAAACCTCACCCTCTCCAGGCTCCATCCCTCACATCTCCAGGAATTTCCCACCTGGAGTTAGCAACCCTATCTCCTTCCCAGCCAATCATCAACCTACCTTTATTTCCCCCTCATTCTTCAGCTTTCCGTTCTTCCAAAATGAACACAAGGTTGTCCGCGAATGCCTGTAATTTAAATTCTTCCCCTCCTATTTTTAATCCTCTTATAGCTCTATTATTTCTGATTAACTCATTTAATGTTTCCAGTATGAAAATGAAAAGTAATGGCGAGAGCGGGCAACCTTGCCTTGTACCTTTTTGTATCAGAATTCTGTCACATCTCCATTAAACGTTATTCCACCATTTTCTCCAGAGGAACTGATCTCTGCTACCTAAAGAACAGTTGTAATTTTGAGTGATCTCCAGTCCTCACCTGGAGATTGGCAACGATGGTTCCCCAGAAGGGAATTGTTGGTTTGGAGGGTGGAGTCTATGGCTTTGTACCTGTCCGAGGTCCCATGCCTCCTGAAACCTCAACCTCTCCAGGTTCCATCCCTCACATCTCCAGGAATTTCCCACCTGGAGTTGGCAACCCTATCTCCTTCCCAGCCAATCATCAACCTACCTTTATTTCCCCCTCACTCTTCAGTTTTCCACCCCCCACAACCTGCAGCCTCTCCCGTGCTCTTAAGCCCTGACTGCTACGTCACATTGGCTGTCATATGGGGGCCACCTCAGCAGCATATAAGGATACAGAACCCACCATTTTCTCCAGGGGAACTGATCTCTGCCATCTGGAAAGCAGTTGTAATTCTGAGTAATCTCCAGCCCTCCATCTGGAGATTGGACACATTTTACCTCAGAAGAGCAAACTGTTTAGAATGTTAGAGGCAAAAGCCAATCAAGTCGCATATGCAAACGACATCTGTGTTCCGAGGCAGAGGCCAATGAGGTTGCATATGCAAATAACCTCTGTGTTCTGACTGGCTATGGGGGGGGGGAGAGGAAGAGCAAACTGTTTAGAATGTTGGAGGCAGGACTCAGGCAAAGCAGCCAGTGGATAGGGAGACCCTCTGAATGACAGATCAGAGAGCGAACTGATTTTGGAGCGTGTGGAATGTTCTAGAGAAGTGCCACCACTATTCGGCTTTTATTTAAAAGGGAGATGTTTGATGCCAACAGCATATAAGACACTTTACTGAACACGAAACTAAGCAAGGAGGGCCCGACTTAGCCACAGCCTGACCTTTGTGGCACCAGCAGGGGAGGAGAGGCAACTGGATCCTGAGGGGCAGGGTGCAAGCGGTGGGATCCCAGTTGCTGGGATCCAATGTGGCTGGGGGTGGGCTGTCATGGGAGGAAAGGGGCTAGCCACCTGCCTCCTGCCCCATCCTTTGTCTGGCCACAGACTATAATTTTCTGCCCAATCCTTACAATAATTTAAGATGAGGCAGAACAAAACTAGGGGGAGAGAGAAAGAGTAAGGGAAGGAAAAGGATACTCTACTACAACATGATGGAAATAAGATGTAAGGGCATACCTTAGGGTTGCTAGCCTCCAGGTGTGGCCTGGAGATCTCCCAGAATTACAACTGAACTTCCAACTACAGAGATCAGTTCCATTGGAGAAAATGGCTGCTTTGGAGGGGAAGGGCCTCTCCAGGTTCCACCTCCATATCTCCAGGAATTTCCCAACTCAGAGTTGGCAACCCTAGCATACCCTGATGTCATAAGTCTCTTGCAAATTAGCTATAAAACATTTTGGGGGAAATTCTACCCAGAAAACCTGGTGGGTGATGCCTGATTAGTATTCAGAGAATTAAAGACCTAGCAATCTGAACAGGGCCCAAGTTTTATATGTTCAAGAATGAAAACAGCAGAAGTATTTTACAGACTTCATGGTGTGCATTCAATTTATACTAGATTTGTTATGATTTTCGAGTACCAGCTGATTTCTTTAACCTTTCTTCATCAGTCTTCACAGTTATGCCTTCAAGAAGAGACTCCATCACATCCTCTGGAAAGATCACTGCATGAGCATCCAAGAACTGCTGGAGATTGACCGTCAAGTTATTGAGGAAACTGAGAACCAGTATCTCATCTTGAAAACTGGTCCAAAGGTTAGAAAGTGCAATAAATATGGGCTAGAAAACAAACAAACAAAAATATTAACTTTGCATTGCTATTATGTTTGCAAAGTGCACTGTCAGCCCATCAGAAATGTTTACTCTTATGTGTACTGTACAGAGAGGGCGAATAAAATTCCTACATAGTGAGATATTATGATTTTTAAAAACTTGACTTGAATTTTAAATAATACTAAAGAGTTCGGAAATGAGGTTTGGGAAAGAATGCTCCCCCTGCACACCCAAACAAAACACATACATGACCTTTTATAAATAAAAGTTTTGTTTTCATTAAAGAGCATCCTTATATTTTAGAAATTTACATAAACTTGAGATGTAGGCACAGCTGTTTTTGCCCGAACAACATTTTTTAACTGTTCCATCTGTGCTGCAAACTGCTTCTGCATCATTTCAACTTCTTGTGCGCAAGTAATCACATCGGACTGAAAAGACAGCAAACACAAAGCAGTGACTGACTGTAGTATCAGGAAAAAAATGTAGTAATCAACTGGATTTAAGAAATCACACTACGCGAAAGTTCCCTTTGGGGACTATACTGCTTCATTACCAGTGAAATGTAATGATATTCTAGTCTCTAGCAAATCACTGGGTTTGAAATGGAGCATCTCTGTTCAGGATTGCATTACAAATGCCACAAAATAGTTATGAAAGCTTGTGTAGTTGTAAGTAAGATGTACTGAATTAAGTAGGGCTCATTTCCAAGCAAATATATTCAGGACTGCAGCCTGAAAAATAGGTCAAACTGGGCTGATTTGGTCATGTACAGACTCAGTGATTGTGTGGTAGCAGTGCAAACAGTGGGTGGCTGTTTTAATTAAAGAAACAGATTCAGCCAACAACTTAGCCAACTCCTCCCCTGTCACTGTCTTGTTTTTATTTCTTTTACATATCATAAAATGAGCCTCCAAAGCTTCCACATTTGGTACTGGGGGATTTACATATGTAATTATTCATGTGATCTGTAGTTGTATGCCATTTGATAATCTGAGCCTGTATAAGTACAGTGCATATATGTTGCAGAAAATGATGCTGTCTTCCCATTATGCATGAAAAAAGTTCAGTGTAGACTGGAAGTTTTTATACTTCATTTCAATTAAAAGCAGAGTACTGGTGACAAATCTACCCACTCTTTGGCACCCAACATAGCTATTACTATCTACAGGCACCTTGAATGCACATGCAGGCATTTCTAAAGTAGATGCAAAGCATGTTAGACTCTCACCAGGATGACACAGAGATATGCTTCATGTTGTCTCACATTGTACAGCACTTCTTTTAACATTGTCAATTTCAGTTCCATTTCAGCATTAAGGCTCTGGTGCATCATTTCAACCATGGCCGTGTATCGATATGCCAAGTCCTGGGAACTCTGAAGCTCTATATCTATATGGTGGCTGGCTGCTGGGATAGCTTCATTCAGAATAGCTGGTACTATGGGCACAGATTTGATTGGAAACATATTGAGGAAGTACAGTAGTTAATATTTATCAGCCACAGGTATTTTCTCACATATTTCTGAGCCAGGGCTAGGATCCAAAGGCAACCTTTCACATGTGCACACAATCTTTTGAGATATCTTTTTCTCTGCAACCCTTTCATGGCCTGAAAAGCAATCCCCAAAGATCAAAGAATCTTATGAAGCAGCATCCAGAATAGCACATGGCGCTGCAGCTGGAAGGAAAAACTAGCACAGTCCCTATATATGTGCAAAATGGTTTAGGTGCATACCCAGTTCTTTTTAGATCCTGATTCAGATCTGTCACTCATCTTATAGCCAGTGTCATGTAGCAGTGCATTGGATCAGAAACTCAGCCAACCCTAGGTCACAAGGTTGTTGTGAGGACAGAATGGGGAAGGGGAACCATGTATACTGCCCTGAGCCCGTTGAAGGAAGGGAATAATTAAAAAATGTAACAGATAGTCAATTATTTGTCTTCAAACAGACTGGTTAGTAAAACAGTTAAATAATACAGAACTTTAATAAAGCTAATATTTGAAGGACATTCAACAAATACAGTTATTCCACTGACTGAAAACAGAATAATGCATTGTTTGGAAAAGCCAACTTAAATGATTGCCAAATGATTTAGATGGAGTTCTATAAAACTGTGATCAACAACAAGCATTTTTACACAAAAGTGGCTTAAATTCATAGTGTAGACATATCCTTAATTTTAGTACCCGCAATATGGGCCTCCGATTTAGGTACCTACAATCATCGATGCCTTCTCCTCCCTTCCCACAGTCCTTGTTGAATAATCGAATTCCTGTCACAATCATGGTGAGTTCTTTCAACTGCCGCTCTTTTTCCTTCTTATTGAAAGAGAGGAAAGCACCAAGCTCTGTCTGAGGAAATACACTTTGCAGGGCAGCTGGAAAATATTAAATGCGCAGACTGTCATGCCAAAAAGTAACTATAGAAATATCAATAAAATTGCCTGAAGGTGGACTATTGAAAACTTGTTGGGGATTAGACTACCATCTGTTCACTTTTTCTATGCCCATTAATTTTGTATCTGGGAAGGCCAGAATAGGGCAAGCTAGTATCTCTCAAGGACCCATTCTCCAATGCATTAGGAGCTGTATTAGCAGAACCATACAAAACATATTTAGAAGCAATATTTGTTTACACGTTACCAGAGATGAAAAGTATCAATTTCTTTTGGGATATCATCGAATTGATGTAAATATTCCAAGATAGGGAACCAGACAGCAATAAAAGAAGATTGGACCGGAATCCATTGTTGCATATTTTAAAGTTCTACTAACCAGTTGCCTCTCTAATGACCTTGATGTCTGTTGGGGATCCAAGGCCTGAGCGCAGCAGCACATAGCTGACAATCTTTCGATAAACACTTTCCAATTCTTCTCGTGTTCGAGCACGATTATCTGTAATTTCTCTGCTCACAGGAGCAAGCCTGGATTCCAGAATGCGATGTTGTTCATTAATTAATTCAACTAAGAGAAAATACAGATAGAGGATCATATAAGATACAGTTAACATTTTTATACAACCTGTAGATGGCCATATAAACATCTAGATTTCACTGGAGTAGTCCGGATTTTGTTGGGCTGAGATCTGCAGCTGCAAGCTGCTTCTAATTCAAAGCACAGAAAAGTCATCTATATTCACAGAACAGAATATCTGTACATATCCCATAGATTCCTAAAGGGTTCAAGGCAGCTAATAGCAAGACATCAAACATTTATAAAACAACAATCCAAACAAAATATAAAAATAAAGAAAACACAAGAAAACAACATTTCCTTCTCTAAAAAAAAGGCATAATAAACATCATTAACTGGTAAACAAAACTAATCACTGCCAATGTCAACAAAAGCTCTTAGAAAAAGAACTCTTACCAGCCCTACTGAAGGACAATAATAATGAAGTCTGCCGTAAGGCCCAGGGCAGGATATTCTAGAGTGCTGACCTTATACAGAAAAGGGCTAGATTTTTTTTGGGGGGGGGAAGCAGAGAAATAAAACAGGAGAGAGCAAAGAACACTGGGTAGATCTAAGGTGGCTCACAAATTCAGATAAGGAGATTAATGATTACCCATTAATGATTACCTATTAATTATTCCTGTTCGTGAGCAATGGAATGTGTCTAGTCTATTGTTATTTTTTTAAACACGCCCATCCAGAATTTCAAAGCAATGTAGACACACTAACTCATGGCCATGTTTTGACTATTTGGGGAATTGGTAATTCAGTTTACAACCTCCTTGCTGTTGCTACTTCCATGTTTATCTGATTCCAGGGCTTTTTTTTTTTAAGAGATGCCAGAACTCTCAAGAGGGAAATTAATTTTTCAGTATATAATTTTTCTGTATACTGAAAACTTATGAACTTGCAGGCCTCTTTTTGAGCCAGAGCTCACCGGAGCGACACTCCGGCAGAGAGGAGGCCAGGGGGCGATGAAATGTAGCAAGTCCCGCCCCCTGCTCCCAGCAGTCCTCCCCTCAGTCAGCCAGGGAGGACAAAGAAGAAGGTAAGTTATGTACCTCTCCCTCCCCGGCCGCCTTTCCAGGGCCTGTAAAGGCCTCCCTAGTCCCCCAGCTTAGTCTCTCCAGGCCCACGTCGCTGCGCGGGGCCCTGGAGAGCCCTCCCCAACCCCCAGAGCCGTCTCCCCAGGCCCGCGCAGTTCCGCAGGGCCTGTAAGATGGAGCTTTTCCGTCAAGCTTTTGTGTAGGAGCCACCACCACTGTACCACCGTCACTAACTAGGCTGGGTAACATCGGAGAGTGAGATGGCCCTGTGACAATGAACGATAGTGCTGTCTGGAACTGATAGCACCGATCTGGGACCATCACCATCAGGATGCCATCTTGTTACTGAAGACCTTTTTTGCGACATCTAGAGCACCTTGTATTGTTATAAATTGACTATAAATGATTGTTTTATTGTATTTTTAACTGTCTTAACCATTGGCATACGTGCCCAGTTTGTGAACCGCCCTGAGCCCGCTCGCGGGGAGGGAGGGCTATAAATCTCATAATAAATAAAATCAATAATAAATAAATAAATAAAAAGAATTTTGTTGAAGAGGTTCCAGAACTTCATTCCGGCATGTTCCCCCAGAAAAAAAGCCCTGCCTGATCCTATTATTTGGCTTTTCTGTTCCATGCATGTTGTACTTCACACATACTTATGCAACAAGAATGGCTGCATCTTGCACACAGTATTCATATTCAGTAGCTCCACACCATAGATTACCTCGGTTTGTATAGTTCATATCAAAATAAACTTGCATCTTAATAGTGTCCAGGGAAGGATTTCTTGTGTCAAGCAGTCTCTCAATACACAGCTAAAAAGATAAAGTGTTTAAATGAGATGTTCTTTCAAGTCAGGTAGCAAATAAGTGACACAAGATTAATTTGGAATGCGAAGTAACACTGTGCCAAGAGTGGACCTCTGTGTGGAATCACCCTAAATCTATCAGCATAACAGATTTTTTAAATGAGGCATGTTCAGCTTAAAATAACTTTAGTAAACAGATCGAGCAGCTGAACTCTGCCATTTCAGAAATTATTTGTATTGCGACAATAATGTAGTCTGAAGAGACAAAAATAGTCATGGCTTAAACTACCTGTCATTAATAGCATAATACATCATATCATTCAGTGGACCGGTGCCTGAAGCTAGATTGATTAGACTGATACTGACCTGATCAATGTGGTCCCAGGAACTTTGAAGTGGACATGAAGGACCACATCAGCATGAGGTTCACATTGTCTTCAATAGAAAAGGCTGCTCCATGCATTCAAAGGCAGGTGTATGCAGAGATGCCCTTTTAATAAAAGCCCACTCACACAATGAGCTCTGGACTGAAGGCTATGATATAGCAAGCCTTGTATGTGGTGAACTGGGTGCAATTTGGTTTTCACATATGCTACAGTTTCTCAAACATTTTGAATTATTCTCCCTTGCTTTACTTTTATCAGGGGTCTTTTCGTAGAAAAAGAGCTAGGGGAACTCATTAGCATATGCCACACCCCCTTACATCATCACCGGAAGTGTGTCATAAGGCCACACCCCCTGACATCACCGGAAGTGTGTCATAAGGCCACACAC